GTGGTGGGCCGGAGCGGGCGGAGCGACGCGCTGCCCCGAAGTTAACGGCCGTGCTCGTCTTGCCTGCCTCGCCTGCGAACAATACAGTCGAGGCGTTGACCTAAGGAACCCTAAATAAGGAACGAGGCCCCTGTTTCCCGTAAGTTCAACCTCGATTTCCCATGGGAACCCTCAGGCAAACCCGAGGCAAACTTTGAAACAATCAAGGAACACCGAGCCCCTCCCCAACGAAAAGGGTTCCTTCTTCAGCGCCCCGACTGTACCTCAGCCCGCGAGCGCCGCAGCGAGCCCGTGAACACCACCGTGTTCTCGGGACCACGGATCGGCGCCAGACCCGAGCAAACTATATCGCACGAGCAGTGGGAAGCCACCCGTATGCGCAACAGCAGAGCCAGACCTCGTCGGAACCGAAGTAGCCTAGCGTGCGCTATGCCTGTGGGCGCTATAGACAAACCTGCTGGTGCCACAGCAGCCTGCGAGCACCACAGCACGCCTGTGAGCACCATAGCTGCATGCCCGTGAGCACCATCACCTGCCTGTGAGCACCTGTGAGCACCGCAACACGCCTGTGATCATGACAATACCACAGCATGCCTGTCGGGGGGGGGAGGCGGCCATGCTCAGCATCTTCCTCCTTTGCCTTCTGCTAGGGCCAATGCTGCTGCTGCTCCTGTTTGTTGTCTTGATGCTTATCGTGCTGCTGAAACTGATGCTTCGCATCTGGTCCTTATCCTGCCGATCCTAGTGCTACTCCTCACTTTCCCCGCGTTTATCCTGTTTCCTCCTTGTCATTTCTCCTCCTACCCATGCTCCCTCCCACCCTCTAGGTTGTCCATAACCATCGGATCCCTCTCCACCTACCTGCTCCTCCTCCACCTCCTCCTCCGCAGCAGCAGCATCATAATGCCAGATGCATTTTGGAGGCGCTTCGTTTGTTTTCAACGGAACGGCGCTTTCAAACGTGCGACAGTTACACGGTTGGAGGGCGGCCCTTCTTTACATCAGGGCTTTCGCAAGTAACTGTGTCTTCATACGGTATGCCCAGCAGATCTGATTGCATGGATTGAGGGCGGCTCCCTTTGAAGATGGGCCTCTCCCCTGGTTGTCCATTAACCTATGTGAACCCGCTGCCGTGCCTTGAGCATGTAGTGTAGCAGCCCACGGCCCATTCAGATGTGCGTGTTAGAAAGGTTGTAGGGTTCTCGCAGGCCGAGATTTCACGTTTTCCAGAAATCCCAGGCGATCTGACGCACCCCTTGGGCACTTCCGGCGATTCCCGCGTGGGCATCCAGCAGGCCACACCTGCCCAAACCGACACCAATCAACTCCAGAAGCCTTCCAAACAAAGCCCAATAAGTCAGGAAGCCTCGGCTGCCTCCAGGGACAATCCTGGGGCTCTCTTCGGGGCATACAGGGCAGTCTTGGAGGCCCTGGGGGCCCGCGCAAAGCGGGCGAACAAGTCGAAGAGAGCTCGAATTGTGTGTGATTTCCACATGCTCTGTGTCTTGCTTTGCTTCCAGGGTCCAAAAGTAGACTCAAGCTGCAACTTCGAGCCTTCCAACCCGAGATCGTGTCAGAGACAGCCAGCAGGCCACCCGCAGAGGCCCACAAGCGGCAACCGGTGGCCGTGCAGAGGACGTTCGCAAGGCCCCAGGGAGGCCCCACGAAGGCCCGGCTCCACCCAGGCACCGTGGCAGCGTTGGGGGCAGACGGCCACTCGACAGCCCCTGCCCTTCTGAACTGGAATGGCGCTGTTCTCGTTCGAGGAGAGGCTCTCGCAGGGGTGGCAAAAGCCCATGGGGCGCACGTCTTCCAAGGTGGCGCTTCCCCCAATGTGAAGAACTCTTCGTGGGCACCTGTGGCGCGGAGACTTGGCAAGGGAGGGTGCACTTCAGCACCGTTGGTGCATCGTGAGTTTGCTATGTTGTCTCCTCCTCTCCTCCCACTCCCCCTCCGCCCTCACGATCGCAGCCCCAGGGGCTCTGACGCACGCGTTCTGGCCTGGACTTCGGAGCGAGACCAGCCTTGGCGACGAGGCCCCAACCCGAACGCCAAACACCTCCGAGTCTCATGCAATCCGAAGTGACAATACCGCCAACAGACCGACATAAACCGACGGCAGAACCGAAACCGACCGAGGCAGAGACGGGCCGCAAGCAGCCTTGAATGGCGCGGCGCCGCGGCAACGACGTGACAAGCGACGGGACCCAACGCAGCCGACTGCTACGCAACCGAACCGACCGAGCCACAGACACCAGCACGCAGAGCACAGCAACGCGTACACGTACAGTGGGGGCCCGACCACAAGAAACCTCCCACAACCCTGAGACCCCAGGACGTCCATCGATGTTGGCGTGGGAACGCCGCGTTTTCCATGGCAAAACCCTCGAAACCCAAGAAGCTCAGGGCACCCTTGAGGCAGGCGGGGTGTTTCTCTTGGCATGGACCTCCCTCGTACTCGTACGCAGTCTGAGGTCCGCGCCTCCCCGAGCGCGCCAGGTCAGGCGCCAGAGGCACCGCCAAGCACGGCCTAGCGCCGATGCAATAAACATCCGCGCGGGCCCCGGGAAGACTTCTGCTCCCGTCGTGGTTCTCCTGCGGCGCCTGCGACGCCGCCGGACCGGCCGAACCGCGGACGCCCCCAGGATCCAGGAGCGCGTGCATCATTCAAGGGGCCAAAGGACACACAATTAAATGCACAATGATTCCCGATATTTTCCTATATTTTCTGAGGTTTTGTCTTCCCCCCCACTCCCCATATTTTCCCATATTTTCCTGGGGATCGACGGTGAATTGTGTCTGTGTGTTTTTGTTCCTCCTCCTGAATCATCCCCCCCCCCTCCCTCGTGGATGGGGTGTCGAGGGAGTTTCCCGTGCCGCCCAGCGTCGGGCCACCGGCGGCTCAGGGCAGACTGCCCGCGGGAGGGGGGCGTCGGGTGGCCTGGGCGCGGCGACGTGGGGGCTCACTGTCCGAAAGCTGAGGCTCACGTCTTTGCTCTCGGTCGACGACTGGAGGTCTTTTTCTGAGCATTTCCTTTGGGTGGAGGGCTCAGGGTGAAATCCATGTGGGCTTCTGCACCTCGCAAACCAATCCGTCTTGTGATCCACCTTTCGCAGATTCAGGCCTCGAACATCCATGGAAACGGCAGTTCAGATTTCACCCCTTGCCCTCCACCCGAAGAGAATGCTCGGTTTTTGCTTCGGCGATCGCCCAAGTTAGCTGGGGGGAGGTGCCGGGCGAGAATCTAACTCTTCGGTTTGGGCAGCCCCACGCGCTTCCCACGCGCAGCCAGTCTGCGTGTGCTACAACTGCGAACGATGCGGCGACGGTGCTATCCGGCGCTCCCGGTGGGCTCCCTGTGCGCTCCTGGTGAGATCCCTGCGCCCCCCCCTCCCCCCATAGGACCTGCACAACCGACAAGATCAGGTTACCTGGGGGGTGGGGCGATAGCCCGAAGTATCGCCGGACCTTGAGTCGATGGTTTTCGCTCGATTTGGGGGGCCCCCTGTGCCCGCTGGGCCTCGCGATGGGTACTCTGGATGCCATGGGGGCCTCCTTGGAAATTCCAGGGGCACTCTGGGCCAGGGGCACCTCTGGCAACACCTGATAGAGCCACCAATCACCGAAACGAACCCTGCGGCGCGGCCGAACCGACCGAGCCGCAGACGCCCTCAGTCCCCCAGGAAATCGACGACAGAATTGCTCCAACGCCACAATGGGATGCTCGGTGAACCGGATACAACTACGCAGGATGCTCCGTAGATCCGCGAAGCATTCTACGTGCCTGTTCGTAGACTCGAAGGAACACACACTTGGGGGTACATATAGCGGCCTCCCAGACGGGGTCCGAATAGACGGGGTCGGAGCATCACGCCGCATCGCCAGTGCATCGGCGATGCATCGGCGATGCCTCGCCGACGTCGGCGACGCATCGGCGACGTCGGCGTGGAGAAAATCGGGCTCCGCATCGAGCCACATCGTCGATGCATCGGCGGTGCGGCGCGGCCCTCCGAGCCAATCTACTCCGACCCCATTTGGGAGGACTTGAGCATGTGTTCGCAGATTCGAAGAAGCATGCATCTGCGGGTACATCACTTCTGTACTCGGGATGGCCCGAAATCCCTTCAGCAAGACGTGGTTTAGTGAAAAAACCTCGGGCCGAAACCTGGCGGGCACGAGCCTGGACAATGACGGCCGCGGCGCCCTCTCGAGAACCCACAACGGACAACTCACGAATCGACGTGTCAGGGTGGGGGTTCTGTCCAACCCCAAGAAAATGACTACCTACCAGACCACCCAATCCGAAGACCCGAATTTCGGGTTGGGGGGGGTAAGGGCTCCACAATTGTTTTTTTGGTGTTTCCCGACCCACCCCCACTGGAAATCGACGGTAAATCTGAGCCTTCGGGTTGGGTTGGGGTGGTTTGGTGGGTGGTGAGAAAACGCACTTGGGGGCACAGCACTTCTGCACTCGATCCTCCACCTGCTCGAAACCGACGCTAAACAAGAAAGCCAAGTCTACTCCACGGGGCGGGGGGGTGGAGGGTGAAGGGGCCCTGGGACACACAAATAAATACACACAAATAGAAATAATCCCAACATTTTCCTGTATTTTGGGGGCTTTTGTCTTCCCCCCCACTTACCATATTTTCCCATATGTTCCGGGGAATCGACGATTAATTGTGTCTGTGTGTTTCTTTCCCTCCTGAGAGGAGGGGAAGTGCGAGGGCCCGCGCCGACCGGCAAAACAATGAATAAGTACATGATCACAAAAACGCGTTTTTGGGGGTACAGTCGGGGCCTTGACCTAAGGAGCCCAAAATGAGGAACGAGGCCCCTTTTTCCAGAAGTTCAACCTCGATTTCCCATCGAAAACATAAGGAAAACCCGAGGCAAGCTGTGAAACAATTAGGGAACTCGGAGCCCCTCCGCAACGAAAAGGGTTCCTTCCTCAGCGCCCCGACTGCACATCACTTCTATACTCGATTCTCCTGCGCGCCTCGCGGCAACCCCGCCCAGTCCCTCTGCAGCAGCGTCGCCGCCGGCGTCGCCAGCGCCGTGCTGCGGCTGCGGCCCGCCCGCAGCCTCGCGGGGGCTGGCGGCCGGGGCTGGCGGCCCACAGGGGAGGTGAGAAGGAGGAGGCGAGCGTGCGACGACGACGACGACGACGGCCACGACCACGACCACGACGACGACCACGACCACGACCACGACCAGGACCACGACGACGACCACGACCACGACCACGACGGCGGCGATGACGACAACGACTTCCCACGACCCTACCTCCCCAGGGCGGCGCGCGTCGGTGGACGGTGTCACCAGGTGAAGGGGGACGGAGGAGGAGGAGGAGGAGGAGGAGGAGGAGGAGGACGAGGACGAGAAGGATATTTCCTCTGCGAACCAATTGGCGGAAACCGAGGAGGCCAACAGTTCAGCCTGAACCAAGGGCTGAAGCCTGCCGTGCAGTCCCTGTCGCCAGACCAGATTACTATTGCTATATCTCCTCCCCCGCACGTTTCCCCCTCCTCCTCCTCCTCATCATCATCATCACCATCACCACCATCATCATCACCATCATCACAATCACATCATCATAATCATCATCGTCATCATCATCACCATCGTAATCACTATCATCAGCATCTCCATCATCACGATCAACATCCACACCAGCATCAACATCATCAGCAACATTATCCAAATCATCATAATCATCATCAGCATCATCCCCATCATCCTCCCCATCATCATCGTCATCATACCCATACTCATAAGTATCATCGTCATCAGCAGCATCATCACAATCAGCAGCATCATCAGCATCACCAACAGCGACAACCAGCAGCAGCATCATCAAAAGCATTATCAGCATCATCATCCGCATCATCATCCGCATCATCATCATCAGCATCATCATCATTATCGTCGTCGTCATCATCATCACCACCATCAGCATCATCAGCAGCAGCATGCAACATTATCGTCATCCTCATCATCATCATCATCCTCGTCCACATCCTCCTCCTCATCATCATCATCGTCGTCGTGATCATCATAATAATCATCATCATGGTCATCATCAGCATCATCATCGTCATCGTCGTCATCATCAGCTGCATCAGCGGCAACATCATTCTCATCACCAGCATTACCAACTGCCCACTGCTGATCGTCCTCCTCGGTCTGCTGCTTCTCCTCCGCCTCCTCCTCCTTGCTCCCCTTCCTCTCTGTTCTCTGCTTTCTCCTTCCTCCACTTACTCGTCGTCCTCTTCCTCCCTCCACCACCTGGCCCGTCTAACAACCCTGATTCCCCTTTCTGCGAAGAGCACAAGCAATATCAGTGTCACACCGGTCGGACTGCTCCATCAGCGTGTTCACTCTTGTCGAAGAAGTACAAGGCTCTCGCACAGGACCATGCAGGGTAGCACGTAGCACTGGCAGTCTGAAAAGAGGGCGCGTGTGCTATTGCTACAATCGGGGCGGGGACAGGAAAACATACATCAAGAACATCTGACCGTCCGCAGGGACAGCAGAACCATGCTTCAGGGTACCCTCCCCCAGGACGCACAAGAGCATACAACAGATACGAAGAACATCAACGCACCCTCCCCGACCCGACCTTCATCCTCTACCTCGGTCCGTCCGTATTCTTTCTCCCCCCCCTTGTCCTTCCCTTAGGTCGGGCGTGTCCCC